GAAGAGCGCAGTGCAGAGGCCTTCACTCTGGGAGCCCTCGATCTCCTTGTGGAAGCCTTGCGAAACCACCCAGGCAGTGCCAATGTGCAAAGAATGGCAAGCTACGGACTGGGGCAAGTATGCTGGGGCTCCAGTCCGGCTGCACAGGCGCGGCGAGAGCGTGCCATTGAGCTCGGTGCCTTTGAGTTGATTGTCAGCAAGTTGCCTCCCACGCCCAGTGGACGGGACTACATTCGTTTTTGGGCCTTGGGTTCCCTTTGCTTCGGTAGCGACCCAGCGGCCTTGGACCGCCAGCAGAAAGCTTTAAGCCTTGGCACCTTGGAGCAGGTGGAGCTCATGTTGAAAGAAGAGGATGACATGCAAGAACAAGGCACGGCAGTGCTCCAGTTGTTGAAGAAAAAGGACAAGCACAAGAAGAAGGACAAGAAAGAGAAGACAGATGGCAAGAAGGAGGGAAGAGGAGTGGGCATCGAGCAAGTACGGAATGTTTGCAGGATGGTGTTGGAAATAGTCTCTGCACCTTGGTCCTTGTGGCAGTGGGCACATCCAGCTTCATCTCGTTCGACAAATCCAGCAGCAGAGAGTTCGGAAGCTTCTCCCCAAAGCAGAGAGGCCCGAGAGGCCACGGAGACTTCTCCAAGTGAAGCAGCACGGAAGAGGAGAGGAGTTGCAGAGGCTGAGAAGGACTTGCAGGCTGCGATCAAGAGTCGGGATGCGAACAGATTGAGAAAGGCCATTCAGGAAGCTGAAAAGTTTGGGGTAGAAAAAGCGATTCTGTATGAGGCTCAAAAAAGCCTTGACGAACCTCGTGGAAAGCGGTCCTATGAGCCCTTCTATCCAGCTTTTGCAGGATGAAGCAGATGATTTGACTCCTATGGCACCTATGGGCATACAAATCTGCCATGCCATTGATGCACTTTTCCAGCTCTTGACTCATGAACATGAAGCTTCCAAACGAGTAGGTAGGGAAACTCTGGAAAGATGTTGCCAGAAGGCCCAAAAGACCTCCGACGAGCTCCTGAAGAGTAGCATTTTTGGTCTCATGGCACCTGGTGAGATTGAAGACTTTCTTCTCGCGGCAGATCATCGGATGTGGATGGAAATCAGTGACTAACAATCTTCTTGAGCATATGTTTGGTTTTTTGTCCCCTGAATTTTTGATTCCAATCTTCAATGCAGTTCTTGTTGGTTCACCAGCCTCACGGTTTTCCTTTGCTGGAATGGTTCATGCTTCTCACAGGCCCCGACTCAGCAAAAGCTAAGGGCAAAACACGGAGGAGTTTCTCAATAAGCTTTTGAACGAGCCTGGAATCCGCGTGGAAGATCGACCCAAGGTGCCTAACGCAGTTTTGCCTTCGTGGTTTGTCTGTCTCTACCAGATGTGCGAAGAATGACAAGCTTAGTGCTCTGTGCGAAGAACACGCAGAGCGATTGGTCAGAGCGTTTGCAGTTACATGACACACGTACTTGTGAAAGAATGTTTGATTCCCAGTGATCCCAGAATGCATTCTGACTGCGGTGTTGAGGTCGCAGAGATGATGAGGCCCGATGCGATCAATTCCCACTTGCGGCAGATGCGACCCGTCATCATGGATCACACGGTCCGGGAACCTGCCACCACCACACCCTTCGGGCACACGGGCTACATGAAATGGCTGACCTTGAAGATCATTCAGAAGATGAACATCAAGGACATAGCCATCAGTGGCCAATACTATGGATCATCCTATACGCCTGAAACTCAGATCTTAGAGTGGCTCCACTACAAGGGCGAGTCCATGGATGGCATGGTGGTGATGTTCGCACCTGGAGAGCGTGAGGCTGGTATCAAGGCCATTCGAGACTACCAGATTCCAAATGCCTTCCTTGATCTGACTCTGAAGGCTGGGAAGAGCAGCGCTTGTCACAGCTCGTTGACGTTTTGCCATGTAGGGCCCATCACTTGCCCGAACAAGGGGTGGTGCTGCTGGGAAACAAGGGCCACGGTTCATTTGGCCCATCGTGCAAGATGCGTTCGTTTGGCACTGTTTAGCTGAAGGCGTTCCTTGGAAGAGTAATGATGCCTAAGTGTTTCCTGTGGTGAACGGTATGTCAATTGTACACGGTCTAGTGGTATTGGTGAGAGGTTCCAATGGGAAGGGGCTTGGCGAGCTGATCTTTCGAGGCTAGGATAGCTGTCCAGAGATTGCATGGTCGACCATTGTCTATCTCAACTAGCTCGATGGAGCTTGTGAGCATCCGGGGAGACTGCCACGAATCCATATACATCCATATACCATATCTTCCCGCATAGTTCTTGCCACTGTGACCCCCTTCTCAGAAAGGCCGTGGGCACTAGCCCCTCAAAACTGGATTCCGCACATGTTTTCACTGAGCACGGTAGGCCAGCGTGCGCTTCGAGCAGACGAACTTCGCCACGACCGTGCAAAACGTGTTGGACGCTGTGGAGGAGTTGGACCAGATTTTCACCAACGAGATGGGATTGGCCCGTGAGCCATGGAGGAATGACGAAGAAGTCAACAGAGACTCGATTAGAAAGATTGAAGTCTTGGAGAGTCTTTGTTCTTTGAAAATGAATCAATTCAGTGCAACTCAAGTTCAAACTGGCAATGAAGAGTTTGTTTTCTTTTGACCTGAATGAGGCAAGCCCGGAAGCGGTGAGATCTCCCTGAATTTGGTGGACCTCATGGAATTCTTGGATCTCGAACCGGATCTAGATACGGACAAAGAGATCAATCCAGCCAATCAAAAGATTGTGGAAGATGCATTTGCCCAGTGGAAAGCCAATGATGCATTCCAACGTCGAGTGGTTGCGATCTTGACGGAGGAAGGGCGAGGTTGTGCCCTTCACAAGGACTACGGCAAGATCGCGAAGTGGCTGCGGAACCAATTCCCGGAGGAGGAGAAGTACCGGATTTTGATACACGCACATGCCGGTCCTGGCAACACGCAGGATGCAGCCAGTATTGAGGCTGTCCTTCATGGAGGAAACGGTGTTTGGGCTGGGATCATTCCGCAAGCAGCACAGGGTGGGCACAACTCCAGCTTGGTGTTCCTGGACAATATGCTACGACTGGGCAACGAGCACGTCCTTGAAGACTATTGGCTCTACCAGGCAGCTCAAAGTGCTCGCTATGTGTACTACTTGAGTTTCAACACCTACAAAGTTCCTGATGATTGCCCGATCTGGGGCGCCAAGGTAGACTCTTTGACACACACGGCTTTTAGCACCGTGAAAGGGGAGGAGTGGCGCCGAAAGCGTAGCAACTACTACAACATGTGGGGGCAGGATGAATCTTAGATGGCAATTTTCACCAGTTGTCTCGTTTGCTCTTCAAAAACATCGTGAGGGTTTTGATTTGGAATACTTTATTGTAGCTATGAATTCCGTTTGTTCAAGCAAGGAAAAGGTCTGGCTGAAGCACGCAGTGAAAAAGTCCAAGCACCACAGGGAAGTGTCTTTGCTTCGCATTGACGAGGAGAGTGGCGCCTATCGTCTCTCACCACTTGTCTCTGATGTGAAGACCTGGAAAAAACGTTTGGGAGAGGATTTGAGCATTCTCGTCGAGAAGGAGGATATCGTTGCGGACTACGTGACAGAGGTGCGAATGTTGGCATTCGCCATGATGAACGCTGGTCTTCGCGCGAACTTTGATGCTCTCCTCAGCAAAGTGCCAGGGGAATAAGAAGGCATGCAGGTAGGTGGGTAGCCGATCAGAACCACCTGTGACATGTGATTGGGTTGATCCTTTTGTCCGTTCATGTGTGTTTCCTTTGTTTCTTTCACGGACCTCTTCAGCCATCCCAAGCCAAGGATGCGCCAAACACTTTGTGCAAGTTGGTGGAGATCGTGAAGAGGAACAAAGCTGCCATTCAAAGGTGGGCATCTCTCGCTGGAAAAGACGCTGATGCACATGTCTCACTTGGAATCGTTGCAGATGGACCTGTTGGATGTGTTTTTTAAACAATGGCAATGTCAAGTGGGTCGCGGGGGGCGCACGCACGCGCGTTCCGCCCCATGCCAGGTGTCGACAGGTACATGCATATCAAAAAGCTGAACAACATCAAGGTGACCATGAATAGCCACAAATGCTTTGCTGAATGGAATTATTGATCGCTCATTCTGCCAAAGGCAGAAGTTCAGGGGGATCCAGCAAGGAATATGCTGAAAGTCAACTTGAAGGAGAGGCAATTTTCTGAATAGCTGCTTCGCGATGGTCTTGGTGAACGATCCCTCTTTTTGCGAACGTCATTTTGCTGTGAGACATTAGAATCCTTGGGTGACACTCTTTTTTTCCACTGCAGCTGCAGTCCAACTAGATTTGTGTTCCCAAGCCACTCCAGTCTCCCTAAGTTAGGGTGCCAGGCTTAAAAGAGAACCGATCCGCTCAGAGAGTCCCACGTCGAGATCTCCGAGGATCGACTGTCGACACCGTTTCGCGCCGGTTCGGCCACCTTGGACAGACAGGTTCGGAAGAGGAGACCAGTTCGAGCCACTACGGCCTTGACGCGTGAACCGGAGCAGGCCAGGTGTTTTGGGCAAGTTGTAGTACTTGACGCCGTGTGGCTTTGGGGAAGCAAGTGAACACCGCCGCATGGTACTTTCCCCAAAGAAAGCCGCTAATGCTGACCCTTTTGTGTCTTCTTGGCAAATCTCAGTAAATTGGACCCGCTTGGGTCTGGTTCACAGTCCACTATGAACCTCTCTAGGCCGTCCCTGTGGAAGACGAGATTTGGTGCCGTCACCCCGGAGCCAGGTGCCAGAGAGGTGGGGATAGTCCGGTCCGACATGTGGACCGACATCGATCGTCAGTTCGTCAGCCCGAGTTCGGGCTCAGATAGGACGTGACCCAAATGGACCCGTCCATTCAGTCAAAGATCATCGCGGTTCGAACCAGAAAGGACCGACTGTCGGTTCTATGAGCCAATGAGTCAGCTTCTTGGCACCTTGTAGATGCCCTGCTTTTTTGGGTGAAGGACTGCTCGTGAGTAGCTGGACTCAGTATCTCGCAATGTGTTGGCGGTGATGGGTGCTGATATATGCATCCAGTCGGGAGAACTGACAAATATCGGGACACTTGTTGACAGGGACGTCTATTGGATAGCCCCACAGGCCCCACATACGTGGCATCATCGTGCGGCCTTTTCTTGAGCACGTGCTTGGCCTTTGGAAGAACATCACTGGAGGGTTCTCGGCACGCTATATAGGTGTGGTTATCATATATCTTCAGTTTGTCTACGCGACGCTCGGGACATGTGAGATCCTCACCCTCACACAGGAGTTTTCAGGGTGTTGGGCGGCTGTTGGACAGCTACTTGTCACCACTTCTGACCGAAGCGATGTCTCCACGTCTTTCGGGGCCGTTCGGCGCGAACGCAGGCGTTCGCGGCCACGCCACGGTGAGCTTCGACCCGAGGGGTTCGGGTCGGCAGAGCTTTTGAGCGGTTTTTGGAGGATGTGGAAAAGGGTTGGGTGTTTGATGGTGTTTGTGTGTGAGTTCTGTAATGTGTTTGTGTGATTTTGTGTGAGGCGTTTGCCATCTTGACAGCTTGAGAGAAGAAAGATGCGAGGCGACGGGTTTTTTTTTTGAGGGGTTCTTGCCCTTCACGGAGGCCGTTTGCCCTGGAAAAAGCATTTGCTCAAGGTTCTTCACACGGATTGCAACACACTCCGTTGCGAGGACCCGTCAGTGTGGAACCCGCCGCACCGTGAGGTCGAGGCAAAGGTCTTGGACCTGGACCCCCCTCCTCTTCACACCAAACTCCCACGTGGAGGCGCGTGGAGGCGAGGAGAGAGAGGGGACCTTCAGTGGCACCGCCATTTCAAGGTTCTCATTGCAAGATCCAATCATGTGCAACACAAAACAGGTGTTTTTGTTGCTGTTTATACTTGTTCTTGCACGGTGTCCGAGGTTCTAGGCGTGGGCAAATTTTGTTTATTCAGTATACTCCGGTCAGAAAGTTGTTGGCGCAACTCAAAAAAAGAAATAGCGGGAACAGCCGCGCCATGTAACTCCTTTTTCTCGCTATTTGGCCGTCATAGATGGCGCAACTGGTCTTTGGATTGTATAAAACTAAGGAAAAGTCACCTCATTAATTTTCCCACCGGTGTATGTGTTCAATGTGTCCTTCGTTGGTAGGTGAACCTTAACACTTTTCTAGGTTCGCCCAGCAAGACTCCGTCTTTTGGGTGGCATACCATATGCCGTATACTAGTCTGTATACTATACATAGTACCACCCCATACCTCAGACAGATTGGATCTTCTTTCAATCCCGATCCGGCGGTCCATCACCTCCCGAGCGAAACAGACGCAGAGAGCGTCGTCCAGGGCGGGCGGATCCACGGCGAATCAACACAAATCCAGTAGCTCCGGACGGCTGCGGGGTGGCCAAAGATGCACCAATTCGGTGCAAGATTCGCATCTCAGAAAGGTTTGAGGGGCACATGAATTCTATAGATCCTTTGTTGTTTGTTTCCTCTCAATAAACTGAAGTTTTGTCAGTGATGGAGGATGATATCATGCTGAAGTTGTCTTTGATAGATCTGTTTGATCGACTTTTCTTTAAGGGTAAGTTCAGAGTAAAACCCTGTAAGAGAGGGAGAGAAAGAGGGAGAGCAAATTAGATCGACGTGAACAATTTCACTTGTAAAAGTGGCAAGGCGTGTGAAGTTCATGTGCTGATGGTGGGAAGGACTCGGACTCTTGCCGACTCCTGCCTAACAAATGACCTAGATGTTGACGGGTGGGGCAGGCCGAAACGAACTTGTATCGCACACTTTTTTTGGACTTTGTCAAATCTAAGGCGCATCACATCGACCGTGTTCTTTGCATCCGTCAAGAAAGTTCTTTGAACGTGAGACACTTGGTGATTGGAGAACTCCATAAACCAACTTTCCCATCGATATGTACAGTAGATATGTTGAAAATATGGCAAGTTTGACTCGGACCGGTTCCAACCCTTTGTTTGGACCACTCGAAACGCCTCCACCACCACGGTCCGGTGCGGCCTCCAGCACGGTCCGGTCTCGGCGGTCCCGGGTCGAGGTCTTCGAGTGAAGAGCGGGCGACGGGTTGAGGTGCGAAGAGCTGGGCAAAGTTCAAGGGCAAAAGCAGTGGCGAAAGCAGTGGCGCAAAAGCTATTCACTTCCAACAGTTTCGTGTCTCATCAACCTTGAGATGGGGATGGATATATGGAAAAGAATGGCGAAAGCTATTCGCAAAAAAAGCATCTTTCTGGTTTATCCACCTTGAGATGGGAGATAGCTGGAGTTGTCGCAAAATCGCCCACCCAACGATTTGCTCAGACCCACTGACCTATGTGGAGATATCAACCTAGTGCCATATACTTATAGGCTTGTCCCCCCAAAAAAGGGATCGCTCACATCGACCCAAGGACGCCGACAGCACTGAGGGACTTCTACGACCAACAGCTTCAAGCTGCAAGTCGTGGAAATACCGAACCCCGAGCCGTTCGCGCCCTTCGTTCAACAGGCCGTCGGTCCCAAGAGCAGCATCACTGGATCCATTCGGAAGAACTCCAAAGGAACTCGGCACAATACACTCCTTGAGGAGCTTGAAACTTGGCACTCCAAGACGCCCCTCGGTTGTGGAATTCAAATGGAATTCAATGGAATTCAGGTGAAGAGTCGAAAGCTGTCACCAGGCCCGACCAGGCCGACGGCCGACTCGACAGGTCCTGTTCGTCTCTCCGCGAGGTGACCTCGTCCGATCTTTAGAGTTTGCCAAAGAACGAGCCCAGTGAACCAGGCAACTCCTAAAACCGAGCACCAGGCAACTCCTAGTGAACTCCTAAAACTGAGAACCGGTTTAAAACCTCATGTTCACCAGGCGCCACGGCCACCCCGACTTCGTGACCTGCCACTGTGTTTGGAGGTCTCAGACCGGTGGAGACCGGCGACTGGTTGGAACACCCATCGGATTACCGGGCTTTTTGGCCATGTTGGTTCGTGTTGACTCCAACAACCCAAAGAGTTTCCCATACACATTTGGAGCAACAAAAGGCGCTAAAGTATATCCTAAAGTACGTAAGTAGTCCCTGGAGTGGTGAAAAACGAATGCTTTGTTTGCTGGTCATTGTACAAATATGATGTAAATGACCAGGGAGCATGGTCCAAGTTCAGCCTTGCCGTGATGTCTAAATTATCAAAGAGGAAGGATTGTGCAAGGATAGTGCCACTCTTGTCATGAATTGTAGGTATTCTTTGAATTAGCAACGCATTGAAGCAGCACTTGGATTGTTTGTATTTTCTAGAATCATGTGTTCAACCCTGCTCCAACACAGGTACTGGGAAGTCTTGTTATTTTTGGAATCATCCAGCTGATGTTCAATCTTTACCAATATACAAGCAACACTATAGAAGAGGCCTCCCTAATGACCAAACAAAAATGCCCCCCAGCAGTCAGATGTGTTCTTTTGACACCGCACACGCTTTAGGTCGCCGGTGAATCCGCTTTAGGAGGCGCGGACGTGGTGGAACGGCCCAAGGGGCTCGGCGCACGAAGGCAAAGATGGACCGGGGAGTAGGAAGAAAAAGGAAGAAGCTGGAAAACAGACGTGGAAGAAATTCGGAAGATACGAGCCATGCGCTCACTGCACGGGCATCTGTGAGCAAAAAACGAATCATGATGAGGGGATTTGTGGTCCGAAATCACCCAGCCTGTATAGGGTTAGGTATACTCACAGAATTGGAATCAATATGTCGAGTTATTTTGCAGACACATGGTCTAATTACTTGCCGTGCCAAAATGGATTGTCTTAGGGGTCGAAGACTCATTTCTTTTCCAAAATCCTCAGCGGTGCAGGCTGCGAAGAACATTGACGAAGGGCAGGGCATGGGCCTTGGGTCCTTCACAGAACTTCTCCGGATGTCCAGCATTGCTTCGTCATAGACTGCAAGAGGTTTGCACAATTTTGCATATCTTCGTCATAGACTGCAGAGGTTCACATGTTTCACACATTTTTGTGTATATGGCAAGGGTCACGAACAGATAGCTCCTTAGATCTCCTTAGCTTTTCTTTAACTTGCCTTAAAATGGCTCATCTCAGTGCATTGCAGTGTCACTTGACATCATGATCACTTGACAGGAGGTCAAAAGATACGTCTTCGCAGGTCCACTTTGCCAAACCATGATCATGTCCAAGCACGGTTCTAATTTTGTATTGCCTAAGCAGGAGTCTAAGCAGGGTATCATCTGCCTGAGCCAGCCCTGTTGAGCATCGGTCGAGCTGTGATAGGCCCACAATGTGATGTCCTCCAGGACGTTGTGGGCGAATCGCGTCCAGGCTTTGACCGAGCAGCTGAAGAGTGGTGATGCGGAGCTAACTGTGAAGGCGAGCTCCACGCTGGTCGATGTGTGTTTCTGTTTTGAACCGTCTGAAGAGCACAGGGCAGAGACCTTCAGCTTGGGAGCCCTCGATGTCCTGGTGAAAGGCTTGCGAAACCACCCAGGCAATGCGAACGTTCAAAATGAGGCGAGTTTCGCCCTGGGCAATGTGTGCGCTTACTCTGAAGAGCGCAGTGCAGAGGCCTTCAAATTGGGAGCCCTCGATCTCCTTGTGGAAGCCTTGCGAAACCACCCAGGCAACGCCGATGTGCAGGCAGGGGCGAGTTTCGCCCTGGGCAATGTGTGCCGGTGCTCTCAAAAGCACCAGGCAGAGGCCTTCACTCTGGGAGCCCTCGATC